GGGGGGATTCCTTCCTGGGCAGTTTGATGAAGTCCTTCTGCAAATATTATTTATAAATATGTAGAATGAAAATACATAGGATTACAAAGTAAACAAAACATGTTCAAATATAGTTATCAAGATGTTTTAAGATGTGTAACACTGTGGGGTGCCTGGGTGGCTCAGTGGTTTGAGAGTCCCACTCTATTTCGGATCAGGTGGTGAGATAAAGCTCCACCCAGAGTCTGCTTAAGATTCCCTCTCTCTCCCTCTCCCCCTTTCTCTTGCACACGTGCTCTCTCAAAAAAAAAAAAATTAAGGGGCGCCTGGGTGGCTCAGTTGGTTAAGCAACTGCCTTCGGCTCAGGTCATGATCCTGGAGTCCCGGGATCGAGTCCCGCGTTGGGCTTCCTGCTCAGCAGGGAGTCTGCTTCTCCCTCTGACCCTCTTCCCTCTCATGCTCTCTATCTCTCATTCTCTCTCACATAAATAAATAAAATCTTTAAAAAAAAAAATTTAAAAAAAAGTGTAACGCTGTACACTTTACTAATACATTTCTTTATTAAGACATTAAGTACCAAGATTAAAGAGTAAGTGCAATACCTAGTATAATTATGAAGTCATGAAAATATAAACGATTTCAAAGTATCTGCAAGAATTGTATAGGGACATGAAAATATCGAATTTTTACTGGTAACAAAGTACTAACCACTGTGATTTGTTGCCTACATTCATAATAAAAGGAAATGCTAAATTTTGCTTAAAGAAAATTGAAAAGGAAGATGTAATATTTCTTCCTCATCCAAGTTCATGGACCCCTGAAGCCTGGACTCTGGGAATAAGAACCTGTTCTGGACTCTCAAGCCATGGGAACACGATCCTTTCTCCATGCTTCCAATGAGCAGCATCATTTCCCTTTTCCCTTTTTTTAATGGTGAGAAGAGCAGCACGTACCTTCCAGGGTCTCGCACTGGACCAGGTTGATGTAGTCCTGCTGGGTCAGGAGGCTGGCCTTGCACCCTCGCACCAGGCCTTCCAGGTAGCCATGGTCCACGTTAAAGTAGAACTCGGCGCCCTCAAGCATGGGGAAAGAGATTACAGCCAATTTGGGCTGAAGCAGCTCTGGATCCTAGCAGGCTCCTGAAGATTTGCTCTAGTCTGGAAAAAAGTACTAGCAGTTATCAGGAAGAAGCCTATCAGCTGATAGTCAGGGTTTTCATGACTAGTTTCCTCTGGTTTCTGTGGCTTTCAACAGCATGCTCAGCCCTGTTTTCACAGCAACAGTGAATCAGCGAGAGAAGCCAAGTAAACCCGGACGCAAACCGCCACCGGGAGAGGGAGAGTAGGAGAGAGGGAGGGTCAGGCCTCTGCTCTGTCCCTCCCAGGGCAACTGGCCCCCTCCCAGCTTTGCCATTGCAAGTCCTGAAACACTTGATTTTGTGAACATTCCTCCCTCCATCTGAGCTTCTGAGCTTTCTGTTCTGAATTGCATTTGTCCTAAATTTCTTGAGGACTGCTAATATGAGAAAAGGGAGGGCTTGTTTTTTTAAATTATGTTTTGTAAATAGATCAGTTGGGAACAGGCAGTTCGAAGAATCCTGAGAAGCTAATTCAGCAATGCAGTTGTTTGTAAAACAAATGTTTAGTAATGTCTTAACATTGCAAAGGCTAATAGCTGTTTACCCCCCACCCCTCCACACCCCCTGCTCCCTGCCCCCAGCCCCAAATCTGGGAGCAGAGCCCAGAAAGCAGTCCTGGAGGCAAACATACAGAGCTGTAATTCTATAATAAGCCACTACCTTTACAAAATTGGACCGTTTATAAGGCACTCTTTATTTTCTTTTTCCCATTTAAATCTCACAATCACTGGAACATATATCTGGGCAGATAGTATTATTACCCAAATCACAGATAAGAAACCAGATCTCAGAGTCTGAGAGACAGCTCAAACTGCACGTAATACAGTACGTACTTAATTAAGCCAGGACTTACTGAGTTTAATGCTCCAAAAAGGAGTGCTTGTTCTCTCCTATACTTAGCTCAAAAATTGTGTCAAATATCCTGAACACACACACACATATATAATATTTCGCTTTCATATATACGATGTCAAATTCTTAATTGAATTTAAAGTGTCAGAAATTCTCCAGTCTCTGTCTCAGTATTTTCAAACTGGGAGAAGCTAGATAAGATTAAATCACAAGAAATTCTGCTTTAGTTGTTGAAAATCGCAGAGAGCAAGACTTGGTTTAGCACAGTGTCCAGCATTTTGAAAGCATTTAATAAACAGCAGAGGTTCTTTTGATTACCATCATCTTTATCCACCAAATTCCCTGAGTATGTTTTAGGTTGAATCATAAGAACTTAAAAATTTTGTAGATCAAAAAATGGTTGCCTATCAGTAATTTTATACATTTCAGTTTAATACAAACTTACAATTAAATAAATTATAAAACAAATTCATCATTCCCTAATCATTTTGGCATATTACTATTTATGCATTTGAGGTTATGTCTACTGTATATATATGATAGATATTCTGTATAATGGCTTGTTACCATGCATCTCTCTTCAAGTAAGGGTTTAATGATATCATTATTGTAAGCTTGAAGTTGACCATGATGGAAGTGTTTAGAATGGGGAAATAGGCAAATGGTAAAAATCAGGGCTTGATTTATTGTTGGCTGTTTGTCCAGACTTGAGAACATGTTAATAATGCAAATTAAACTTAAAAGTATGTGGTATCTCTCTAGCCATTACATTGTGAATTGCAAATTTTGGAGAAATAGTCTCTTAGTATTCAAAAACCCTTATCTGATTTAGCAAAGATAACATTCACAGAATAAGGAACAAGTGAAGTTCTGATATATGTCTTTATTGTTTCAATTTCATTCTACTCTTTAGTGTAAATAAAAATATCAACCATCATTCAGGGGCACCTGGGTGGGTCAGTCGGTTAAGCCTCTGCCTTCGGCTCAGGTCATGATCCCAGGGTCCAGGAATAGAGCCCCACTTCGGGCTCCCTGCTCAGCGGGGCGCCTGTTTCTCCCTCTCCCTCTGCCTGTCTCTCTGCCTACCTGTTCTCTCTATGTCTCTGTCAAATAAATAAATAAAATCTTAAAAAAAAATCAACCGTCATTCATCTTGGAACTACATTTATTTGTTGGTTGAAACAAAGTTTGGCTACAGATACTGGAGTTGAACAAAGATCAATGAAAGCATTCTGTGAAAATTGATGGACCATATGGAATTTTCAATGTGGAGTATTATTTTATTGTTATTTGTAAATTGTGTGGTCATATCTTTTATAATAGTAAAATTTATAATAAACATATACAAACATATTCTGGGGGGAGAGCCAGTGGTTAAACACTTATAGTACAACACACAATCCTCGTTTTGCCCAGAGCTAGCCTTGCATGTCAACATGCTCAAAAAAAAATTTTGTGTATGTGTGTGTGCAAAAAGACGTTTTAACTTGCCATCCTTTACATTTATATGCAGAGCCAAGTTCCAACGTTGCTTTAAAATGATAGATCAGGGGCTCCTGGCTGGCTCAGTCTGTAGAGCATGCGACTCTTGATCTCAGGGTCATGAGTTTGAGCCCCATGTTGGGTGTAGAGGTTACTTAAAAATTTTTTCTTAAAAGACTACAAAATAATAAAAAAAATGACAGATACCAACTTCCTCTGTGATTACAAAATTCAAGAATGAAGGAGGCCAAATATTTCTCTTCACATAATCCTTTAAACTTGGCACAAACAAAAATGTCTCATTCCTGCTAAAGGTACTTATCAGAGATGAGATGCAACTCCTGAGAGATGAAAGGAAACCCAGTGCAGTGACACGCATCTGGAGCTTCTTTATAAATGTGTCCCCATGGTGCAAACAAAAGAAAAATGTTCATTTCAGTGTTTACACTACCAGTGACGTTTAGGAGAGAGCTTGCACTATGGCAGAGTATAGGTTTAAGTTACTTCCCCTCTAAGCACCAGGGTTTCCATGTGTAAAATGAGGATAATAATACTTACCTTGATGCAGAGAAAGGGGAACCCTCCTACACTGCTGGTGGGAATGCAAGCTGGTGCAGCCACTCTGGAAAACAGTATGGAGGTTCCTCAAAAAGTTAAAAATAGAGCTACCCTACGACCCTGCAATTGCACTACTGGGTATTTACCCCAAAGATACAAATGTAGGGATCCGAAGGGGTTACATGTACCCCAATGTTTATAGCAGCAATGTCCACAATATCCAAACTATGGAAAGGGTCCAGATGCCCATCAACAGATGAATGGATAAAGAAGATGTAGTATATATATACTATAGAATATTATGCAGCCATCAAAAAACCGAAATCTTGCCATTTGCAATGACGTGGATAGAACTAGAAGGTATTATGCTAAGCAAAATAAATCAATCAGAGAAAGACAATTATCATATGATCTCACTGATATGAGGAATTTGAGAAACAAGACAGAGGATCATAGGGGAAGGGAGGGAAAAATGAAAAAAGACAAAACCAGACAGGGAGACAAACCATAAGAGACTCCTAATCTCAGGAAACAAACTGAGGGTTGCTGGAGTGGTGGGGGGTGGGAGGGATGGGGTGGCTAGGTGATCGACATTGGGGAGGTTATGTGCTGGTGAGCGCTGTGAATTGTGCAAGACTGTTGAATCACAGATCTCTACCTCTGAAACAGATAATACAATATATGTTAATAAAAAAATAAAAATACTTACCTCATAGTTGATAGTAAAGACTAAGTCAGAGAAAATCCTTAGAAAGGTTAACACATGTAGGCATGTGTACTAAGTATGTAATAAAAAGAAACTACTGCGATGGCTTCCCTCTTCCTCCTGTTACTACCAACCACCACAATCCTAATCCTTTAACACTAGACCTTCAGGCCAGGAACAGTGTTTCGCTCATCTTTCTGTCTCTCAACTGCTTAGTAGCACACCTTGAGGGCAGCTGTTTGCTGGAGGAACCGGAAGTAGACTTATAAAATGACCTAACTTGCTCTTACAGTCCTTAGCTCTGCGTTTCTCTAGGAAACCCTGTATTTGGTATGTGTATTTGAGGAATGAGGTTATTTGGGGGGTTTTGCCGCATGATACATATGTGTGTGTATGCTTATAAGACATATAGGATTTATTGTGACTTTGTCTCAATTTTAAGAGCTTTCAAGTGTCATTAGCTTAGTAGCACCAGAGGATCAACTTATTTTTCCAAGAAATAGAGACACTCCTCGCAGAGATACAGTGTCTGTTATCCTAAAAACAAAGAGTTTTTTTGTTTGTTTCTAGACATGGTAGGCTCTTCAAAGGACAGTGAATAAGCAAAGAAGATCCAGGCTGCTTCCCATGAACAGTCTTCTGGACGTTTTTGTTTTGTTTTTAAAGATTTTATTTGTCAGAGAGAATGCGAACACAAGCAAGGGGAGTGGCAGGCAGAGAAGGAAGAGGGAGAAGCAGGCTCTGTGCTGAGCAAGGAGCCCGATGCAGACCCCATCCTAGGACCCTGGGATCATGACCTGAGCCCAAGGCAGACACTTAACCGACTGAGCCACCCAGGTGTCCCTGGACATTTTGATGTGGTGGACTAAGGCAGGCCAAGGCCTTGCTTAGCTCTGAGGTAGTTCTCAAGGTGGACAGCCACACCACTTTTGAACAGTCTCTGGGAGTGTCTTTAGAGGCAGAGTGTTGGGTAGGATGCACCTTGGGGTGGAAGAAGTATGCCATCCTCAATGATAAAGTCAAAGGCCAAGTCAAAGCCTTTTCCTAAAGCTGTATGTACTGGTTGTTAGTTTAGATTTTAAGGCATCACATGTCCCATAATATAATCTATAACCGCCATGTAAGCATCACCCAGCTTCACTAATAATCCACTCAGAGCGAATTTTGATTTAGCTATACCAGGTATCAGAAGCTTTTCTGCATAGGGCAAGATAGTAAACATTTTAGGCATTGTGGGCCATATTGTTTCTATCGCAACTACCCTACTCTGCCATTGTTGCAGGAAAGCAGCCATAGATCACACATAAATAAATGAGCATGACTGTGTTCTAATAAACTTCATTTTCAAAAACAGGTGGTGGGCCGGATTTGGCCTCTGGGCCATAGTT